ACTTCCATGGGATCCCAAAGGTACCGTTGGCGGTGCAGTTCGATCTTCCACTGGACTACCCACCTGGCTAGAACCTGACATCGATCCTCGCGAGGTGGTCTTGGTCAACACGCTCGGTGGTCGACAGTAAACCTGCAGAGATCGTACAAATTATAATTTATACGTAATGAGAGATCGCGATCGCAATCACGAGCACATAATCACTCGCAATCTCGCACGCACCTGCATCTTCGCGGTGACCAGATCCGCGATGTGACGTCGATCCTCTTCCTGGGAATCTCCCATTAAAGACAGCGCGCTGTCGTTGACCTCGATTATATGTTCCCGGCCATCCTTGCCGACCAACAGTTCGATCGCACAGATATCCAATCCCCCGAATAATTGCGCCACGTGATCGATCCATGTGCGGTGTCGCTCGCTCACGGAAAGCTGCTCTAGCATAGCCGAGCCGGTGTTCGATTTCCAGTTGCCGCTTATGCTTTTTCGCCTATAAGAATCAGAGCGGTAAAAGTGTGTACAATTATTTATTCTATAAAATGACGTTGCTAAGTTATTTTGAAATATTCTACGTTGATTTTGGACAATTTTCCTATATATATATCAAACTGTAGACTTTCAAAACATCGAACTTTCTTAATTAATCGATTTTATCACGAACTTACATGAAAGCCTTGTAATTATTTCCGATTTTCTGCACGTGCACATCGTACTTGGTGTCGATGTAAGGTTCCGCCGTGACATAAGTGTTTGCCATAGCCGCCAGCGAAGCGAGATCTAGAAATTCTTGATTTGTTTCCGCACGGGCTTTGCCGGTTCCACTGTGAGCGTGGCCCAGTTTCACCACGACGGGATATCGAGATGCGCTTACCTGCAATCGGAATAGGTAATTGCTTCACGAATTACAAGGGAATAATTAACGTCCTGTCAATTGAGTCTCTCTCTCTCTCTCACTATCTCCCGTCGTAGTAGCCACCGTTTGATTAGCAATGAGATCTTTAATCGCGCGATATATATCGATGCTGAGTCGCTGTTACGTGTTAAAAATATAAACAAAATTTTTAATATTAATCGAATATGTTATATGTGTTACACGTTTTATATGTAAAGCACATGTAGAGAATTTAAAATGACATTACACGTTATATTACACGATATTTTCTTTGACATGTATTTAACATAATTACACAAGAAAGATTTTAATTCGATTCCTATTTCCTCATTATAATATATTGATTACAAACTTTACTTTTTATTTTATTTAATCGTATTAATAAAAAACAAATAAAAAGTAAATGCTTCTCAGGATATCCCGTTACCATAGATAGCTATGGAATCTCTTAGTGATAAAAGAAGAACATAAACGCGAGTGCTTAAGTGCACATGTCACTTGTTGATTTGTATAATGTTTATTAGATTCCTTATTTGTCTCCATATTCTTTTTATCAACCTATCTAGATATTTTCCACATTGCTTTATATGTCTAATTAATTATCATCTTTTATTGCCCGTTAGATCCCACGTAAAATAAAGTTAAGATGCCAAGTATAAAGTTATATCTTTGAATTTTAACATATATTTAGTAAGTAAGTATGCGTGTGACGCTTTTACACTATTATATTTACCATATATTTAATACTAAAATCAAAAATATAATACTCTCTACTAAAATTATAAGATAATATTTTATAAATAAATATATTACCGGCTAGAACGAATATATAAATTATGTTCAGATGTTATGTTTAGAAAAAAAATTATTGCAGAGAGAGAAAGAAAGAGAGAGAGAGAGAGAAATGAGAGATTTAAATAAAAAATCATATATTATGGATTGCAGTTGAGTGTTAAATCCCCAGCGTCATTGTGTATTTCGTGTCGAGTGATTCATTTTTTGGTCCATTTTGTAAGATTAGTCACCGCGCGAACAATGATTTTTTGCCGGAAACAGGATCACCACTAAAGCGACGCGTGCTTTACCGTTAACAATCTGTTTACAAACGGTAGGGGGACGTAAAAGAGGAAGCGGCTGCTTAATATCTTGCCCCCTTGCCAGTTGAGCGGTTGTATCCGGGCCCAATCTCCGACGATACCCGCGATTATTGTACGCCGCGAAAGAGTGCTCAATCTGCTCGTGCGAACGCGCGTATATTCGTGCCGGCACGTGGGTGTAGAAAAGTGCCTTCTGACGATGAGTATCGCTGGAAACGGGTATCTGGTGCTCGCGTTGGCAAAGAAACGATGAACAGCTGCGATCGCGAAAAACAAATCGGGAAAAGTTTGCTATAATAAGGATAACAATTCGACAGAGAAAAGTACAATATTATTATTTAAATATTCATCATGATCGTGACATACGAGAGATGCTATTTATGTCAAATTTGTATCAATAAAAGATGTTTCTCTAAGTCTTGAAAATTTGCATAGAGAACAAAAATTTAATTGCGATGACAAGAGATATGCGAATGTTTTGATCTGGGAGATAATAATAGATGAAGAAAGAGTAAGAAGGGAAGAATAAACGACGAGATGAGGACGAGGTGAAACGGGAAGACCGTCTGATCGAGGGTGGCGACTGCTGCAGCGAAGAGATAGCGAAGAGATCTCGAAGCCGTCAGACGTGACTCTAGGCAACGGATGTAGAGTGCGGTAGGTAAAGTTCTCACCGTGTGAGGATGGAGAACGAGCGAGCGAGAGAGAGACAAACAGAGCAATAGAAGAGTCGAGAGTATAGATGGTATCCGTAGTCAAGACTTGGAGCGAGCTTAGATATAAAGTAGTCTTGAAACGGGCTGATAATTGTAGTGGAATTTCAAGGTGTCCTTCAAGATATCGTCTTTTAAACTGTCTTTTTCTCAATCCTTCTCAAAATAAGGCAGATAGATCGCTTCATAATGGCATCTTTTAAGAATAGCAGATCTTAAGTGCCAAAGGCTTGATCAAGCAAGATCTCGTTCATGAAATTAGAAATGATTTAAGATCATCTTTAAAAGTGAGACGGCCTTCGTGAATTATATTGTCGAGCTCATCTTTGAGAGAAAGATAGAGATTACGTATGAATATGTATGAATATGTTATGAATACGACTATACAAAAGAGGCGAGCAAGTTTTTATCAAGGTATAACATGCACGTAAAACATGTATATTCAAAAGAGTTAAATATCTCTCTCGTGAATTGAAACAATTCACAAAAAAAGGAAATATCTTATAGATAAGCTAGTTTTTTGTGAGCAAACCATTTAAAGTTCTCATTTTTTAAATTCAGAAGATACATTTGATTATTAATTGAAAAAAATATATATTGAAATCTCTCTAAAAATATTATTTCGATCTATAAACCAATTTCTGGGGAAAACATCGTATCGTGTTATATATTCTTCTTCCGTGCTGTTTAAATACATAACAAGAGATGAACGGATTAAATTGAACTGGAGCAAGTATCGATCGCGGAAGACAAGGACGACTGAAAAAAGACGGTGAACATTTCAGAAAGACGGGGACAAGGAGATCATCGGCAAGAATATTGAACGAGGATGGTTGTATATCTCGTCGATGTAGTAACAGAGAGAAGAAACGACAAGGATAGAGAATATACAGGCATCAGAGATCAAGAGAGAAAGAGAGAGGCGGTGAGAAAGAGAATGAACGATGGTAAACGAGAGTGGTGTGTGTACATTCGATGGAGAGGGCAAGAGAG